GAGGAGCGTACTGGGTACTTATAGGGAGGCTCTTGTTGTCGGTGGTGACCACCTTCCTCCCATACCGTAATCGTCCCTCCACTGCCGACCACGATGAAGCCTTCGGTGAGGGGGCAGACGGCTCGAGGGCAGAAGTTTGGCAGAGGACAGGGGAGTTGGACGGTGAGAGTGGGCGAGGCTAGTAACAACCTGAGCTGTGGTCCATGCAGTGGGCGCTGGAAGTCTCCTCCCCACCTCCCTCCTTCAGAGACGGCGATGATGTGAGGGCCATTGCATACCGCAGAGGACGACAGCCAAGCGTGGTCAATGATTCGAGCATCCCCCTCTGTTACTGAGGTCTGATCACGGAAAATTTCCCCAGCCCTATGCCGACACCATCTACAGGGGGAATCTCCTTGAGAACGCCCTCAGAGTCGCTCTGAAAGAATCTATACCCATCCCGACCAGCGACGCAGAACAAGGATGAATCGTCGGGACAAAGGGTGACCTGTTAAAGACTGTTATCGCTCTTTTTGCGTTGGTGGCGAGGTACGTCGCTGAATTCACCACTGACGTTGAGCTGTTTGCTATTCTTGGTATCGATGGAGATCTTTCGAGAAGCGGCCGAACTCTACAGGGACGGGAGCAATGGAACATCCCCGCTGTCCAGCTCGTGCCGACCTTCTGAGTTTTGCCTTTCTTGTTGTCCCATTCAGTAACGTGGAAGAGGTCTCCGGCATTTGTGAGGACGACCAGGCTACCACCATTGCTGGACAAACCGATCGAAACGATTTTCCCTCCCTCTTTCTCCTAAGGGAAGACTAAAGGGAGGTACATCCAGAGGCAGTATGAGCTCGCCTTGGTAGACTCAGGGAGGAGTAAGACAGCTCGGGGGTGGTTGCCAGGGACCGTCGGATCGTAAAGCCCTACAGCCATCTGAGTTGCTGTACTATGAAAGGCCTCTCTGAGTTGAGGTCTTCACCTGGCCATTCGTGAGCAGCTGACCGACAGCAAGGATACCACAGTCGAGGCTCTTAGCTACGGCAGTGATCGTTCTATGGGAAACTTCGACAGGTGGGGAGAGGATGTTCACAGTATTGGAGTCGACGTGACGGAGGCATACGTGTCTTCCGCATATGTGAACCTTGCAAGCGGAAGTATATTCCGTCGAATAAGGGTTGATGTTCGAAGCAGACTCACCACGAACTGTCCGGTCTCGTCAAGGAAAAATACTGGGCCTGGCCTCAATGGTTTCACGTCGTCAGTACTGGTGGTCACACCAAGGGCGTGCATTAGCTTCAGCCTCGTGATAGCACGTTCCTCGCCGCCCTTCTGCGGTATGCGATTGTCAGGCATCGACATCGTGGGCGAACTGATGCACGCTCAAAAGTTGATATACTCAATTCAATTCATAAATAGTTACGGGTGGACTCTCGAGTGGAATCGGTCTTACTAACGGCGAAGATGATTCCCACACATCGGAATTGGGGGTACTTCGGTCGAACTCCGGCGAATTTGATTCCACTGAAGCATATCTTGGCATACCTGTGGCATAGCCGCCCCTTCCCGACAGAATTGATCTCACTAAGAGCTAAGAAATATGCCTTCAAAATAAATAGACGGCGAGGCCAACAAAGAACAGCATCATACCGTTACGACAGACCTCTACTCATCTGCTCATATGTACGGAGGCATATCTTAGCATACCTGTGGCATAGCCGCCCCTCCCAAGACCTACGAAATATACCTTATCAAGACCATGTACATGATTCGATATCCCCTCCATCAGGCGAGTGCCCCGACCAGCTCCCTCCAGCCAAGTACACCCCTTCAAAAGCATCCCTGTCTGATAGGTTATCTGATGATGGGGAGGTGGTTAGGACAGGTTGCAGCGAGGCCACTCGAGGGAGGGGAGAGCCCATTCCTTCCGAAATGTTTCATAGGCTCTTGTTGGTCATCCAACAAGTCGGCGATCTTCAGCTTGATCTAACAACAGCTGTTAGATCAAGCAAAGCGAGCCACACTTGTGCCGCAGTGACGGACACCAAGTTGACATTAGGACGTTTGGCTAATGGTGACATTCACCACAAAAGCTGAGGAACTCATGTGGGTACTGAACACCGATCATGGCGTAGAGGGAACTAAGCTCTCCGTTGAGAACGCTTCTTCTCCCACTGGGCTGGTGTGAGCCTTTAAGAGATATCATCATGACGATTTACAGAACGTGTGGTACCATGAATTGTTTCGCAGTTGAACTAGGAAGCTCAATCAGACCCTCACCTGGAGACCGAGAGCATGTAGCTCTCCCGAACCCAAA